TCTTACCTTTATTTTTAGGTTTGGTCATTGAATATCAGTGAACAGGGCAGGGGCAAGGTAAAAGTGCTCAAAAGAAGTCAACAGGCAGCCAACTCAACAAAGGATCCCGAAACAAATCTCCAAACACCAACAGTGAGAGAAATAGACAAGTAAAACCTCAAAAACTAATTAAATAGAGGAAACCAGCAAAATTTCCTCAAATACCACCAGTTTACCCCACAATTGAACAAATGGTCACCAACAGCTACAGATAAAATCACAGTACCCAAATTAAGTACAAAATGTCTGTCATCAATTAGAAAAAGCGAAAATATCTGGCCTCAACTATAAATCAAAAATCTGTCTTCAGCTAATCAACAATTAGAAATCTGGCCTCAGCTAAAAGGAACAGAAAATTAAAGAAAGAGAACACCTTCGGCAGCAACGGAAGGTGACGCGCGTGGCTTGCATACACGAACGTGGCACTGGGCAGGCGCGCACTGCTGCTAGGTCGCGGCTGGGGATGCGCGAGTGGGTCTGGAGCTTTCTAGGTGTGTGAGCAGGAGAAGCACGCTGGACTCACGCGTTGGGTGGCGCGCCTGTGGGAGCACTGGTCGTGCGCCTAGCGAGCGCTCAGGTCGCGCGCTTGCTGCTCACTGGGCGGGTACGCACGCGCAGGGAACTGAGGCTGGCGCGCAGTGGGCTGCGTCTGCACAGGCAGGCACGCGGGTGGACCGCAGCGTTTGGCTGTCGGCTGTCGAAGCGCGCGATCGAGCTGGGGCTGGCAGGCAAGGGCGCACTGGTGGCACGCGCACGGCTAGCTGCAGGTGGCGACGGCCTTTGGCAGCGAGGTCGGCGGCGGACAGGGACGAATGCGGCGATGGGTGAAGAACAAAGGAAGAAGAAGAAGAGAAAGAAAGAAAAGAAAGAAGAAGAAAGAAGAAAGAAAAAGAAAAGAAAGAGGAAGAAGGAAAGTAGGGCAACCGTGGGCTTTTCCCCCCTTTTTTTAGTAAGGGCAAATTCATCTTTTTACACTTTTTTTTTTTTACAAAGAACCCCTGTCTTAGGCATAGGCATGCCTAACTGCCTACTAGTCTTCTGACCATCCGTCGAGATTTTTTTTTATCCTTAAGTGTGACCACTTGGTTTGGGCACACCTAACTACTATAGAGTCTTCTGACCGCAGACGAGAATTTTCTTCCCTTAAACATGACCACCTGGCGTGGGCACATTTAACTACAATAGAGTCTTCTGACCGTCGTCTTCCAACTCTCTTCCTTAGACGTGACCACTTAGCGTGGGCACGTCTAACTATCAATTTCCTGTCACAAAACAACAAACTACTAAATGACACCAACACTTAACAAAAACTCCAAAAATATATGAAAAACTAAAACAAATAGCCTTGGATTGCCTCCCAAGTAGCGCCTTTCTTTAACGTTTTTTGCTAGACATGGCCGGAGCCCTCAAGTAAGATAAATTGGGTCCTTAAGGTGTACGATTTTGATTTCCTCAACAGAGAATCCTTCATAATAAGGTTTGAAACGATGACCATTTACCATGAATTTTTTCTCCGTTTTTAAACTTTGGATCTCCACTGCACCATAATGAAACACATTAGAAACAACAAATGGACCAATCCAATGAGAACGTAACTTACCGAAAAAAAGTTTAAGTCTCGAGTAATACCAGAGGACTTTTTGCCCCACTACAAATGATTTTCTTGAGACTTCTGATCATGGAAGAGTTTGCTCTTCTCCTTATAAATCGTGACATTCTCGTATGCCTCATTCTTAATCTCTTCCAATTCTTGTAACTGCAATTTTCTTTTGACCCCCGCTTCTTCAAGGTTCATATTGCACTGTCTCACCGCCCAAAACGCCTTGTGTTCGAACTCCACAGGAAGATGGCAAGTTTTACCGAAGACTAGTCTATACGAGGAGATCCCAATCGGCGTCTTATACGCGGTGCGGTACGCCCATAGTGTATCTTCCAACTTTAAACTCCAATCCTTTCTATCGGGGCACACCATCTTTTCCAATATTGATTTTATCTTCCTGTTCGACACTTCGATTTGACTATTTGTCTGTGGGTGATACGGCGTAGATACTTTGTGGAGTAAACCATATTTTCGAAACAGGGCAGCAATAGTCTTATTACAAAAGTGCGTGCCCCTATCACTTACCACAACTCTTCGCATCCCAAAGCGGACAAATATGTTAGACTTTAGAAATTCTGCAACCACTCTAGAATCGTTAGTATGGGTGGCTTTTGCTTCCACCTACTTAGAGACATAATCAACGACAAGTAAGATGTAAAGGAAACCAAAAGACAAGGGAAAAAGATCCATGAAATCTATTCCCCAAACATCAAAGATTTCAACAAACAACATAGGGGTCTGAAGCATTTGGTCCCTACGAAAAATATTTCCCACCCTTTGACACTTATCACCAGATTTACAAAACAAGTACGCATCTTTAAAAAGGGTGGGCCAATAAAAGCCACTCTCCAACACCTTACAGCTGTTCCCTTAGGCCTAAAATGCCCTTTACATGCAAACGAATTACAGAAATTTAAAATGGAGTGGAATTCACTTGCACCCACACATCTTCTTAGTACTTGATCTGAACATTGCCTCCAAAGGTAGAGGTCGTCCCAAATGTAGTATTTGGTATCACTTTTTAACTTGTCTCTCCTAGCCTTTGGCCAACTTGTAGGCAATTGATTAGTTACTAAGAAATTTACAATATCAGCATACCAGGGTGCCGACGAATCAACGGCAAGTAGTTGCTTCTCTAAAAATGTCTCTCTCAATGGCTGCTCCTCCTTATGTGTAAGCAAGCTGATAGGGATATAATTATGCATTTTATTTGTGGTTATTTGGTCTTAATTTTGGCAGTTTAGTATGCAAAGTATTGGATTTCTGCTCATAATTAGTATTTGTGTTAATTACAGGCAATTAGTGTTGAAAGTGACAAAAGGGAGGCAAAATCCAGAAGACTCTTGCTTCTAAGGCGTGCCCACGCCAGATAACGCGGAGCTGCGTGATAAGGACGGAGTATGCGATCCTACTCCTTGGAGGCTGCCGCAATTCTTGGAAAGTGATGGTAGCTACGTGGGATCAGGAAGTTTTTTCAAAGAGGACTTTTAGCAACAATCCAATGAGGGAATTAAGGAAATAATTCGTTTGAGAAACAACTTCTTATTTTGGCTAGCAAAAAGGACGGCGGGCAGCACTACAAATTGGGGGGATTGCAATAGACTAGGGGATCTTTTGATTCTTTTGTTTTTTTTTTCCTTTTACTTCTCCACGCAAGCTTTAGACAAGCCGCCGCACCCTTTTACTTCTTCATAGACAAAATTACTTGGAAGCTTGGAATCGCATAATGATTATGTAGCAAGGCTAGTTCTTTTATCTAGTTGAGGAATAAATCAAGGATCGGAGCACCATAACTGTGAGATCGTTTTAATTGTTTATTTTTAATTTATATGTTCATGGGTATTTGATTATTCTCTATTTTTTCCTAAGTTATTATTGTTTAGATTTATTGGATAATTAGGCCTGTTATTCGAGTGTCTAAATAATTGATAGCCAATTAGGATGTTGGCGCGTCGCCTTTAAGCATCTTGATTAGTGGCAAACGAGACAATTTCACCGCCTCGCAAGCGGTCTAATTTGGATCGTGGGGATAATTAATCTAGCCTAAACAAACTCGCATGTGTGTTTGTCATCTAGAATTGGGTCTTTCTAATTCCTAATGCTGTGGCTACATTAAATCCTATGAGTGTTTCTGGGGTTGTCTAGTCACAAGAGGGTAGTTTATGAGCGTCTCTTGACTACCATAAAATTAAGGAAAGATTGGTGGTTGGGCGCATCGCTTGACCACTATAACCAGTTTATTCGTGAGTATATGAATTGTCCCTTGTATCCGTGATCAGTTGTGTGCTTCGGTGCCAAGATTAATTCCTTGACTAGGTTGTTTAATTAATTGTTATTTGTATAATTTGGTTCCCGCTATCTTACTCAATTTTGAATTTCAGTTTTTACTCCTTTTTCATTAGTTGGTACTATTGCTAAAATTTCCTCCCCATTTTCCTGTGTGATAAATCTACCGGTTCCCTGAGGAGACGACCCTACTCACCACTATACTCATTCAGTTTTGGTAGTAGGTCTAATATAAATTGTATTTTTGGTGGTTTGACACCCACCAAATTTTGGCGCCGTTGCCGGGAAATATGTGTTTTAAGTGACTTATTGCACAGGCTTTAGTTTTTATTTTTATTTTTATTTTTTTTATTTTTATTTTATGCCTCGATCTTCTCGTACTGGAGAATTAGAATTTGATCCAGAGATCGAGAAGGCTGCAAGAAGGTTGACCAAGGAGGCAAAGTTGCGTAAGCAACAAGATTCAACGTCACCTTCAGAATCTGAGCAAGAGTTTGTTTCCAGTGATTCATCAAGTGAATCTGAAAAAGAAGAAGTGCATATTCCCCGAGTAGCAATGGCAGCCCCAAGAACTTTGAGGGAGTTGGCAACTCCTAACGTGAACCAGCAGCCATTATGCATTACATTTCCTAACACGGAAGAGGCATTTGAGCTTAAATCTGGTCTTATTCACTTACTTCCTACTTTTCGTGGTATTGCAGGTGAAGACCCACATAAACACTTGAAGGAATTTCATGTGGTGTGCTCCACAATGAAACCTTAAGGAGTCACTGAGAACCACATCAAGTTGAGAGCCTTCCCTTTCTCTTTGGCAGATAAGGCTAAAGATTGGTTATTTTACCTGCCATCTGGATCCATCACTACGTGGGAAGAATTGAAGAGAAGATTCCTCGAGAAATTTTTCCCTGCCTCTAGAGCCGCCAATATAAGGAAAGAAATATGTGGAGTTAGGCAGGCAAATGGGGAAACTCTATATGAGTACTGGGAGCGCTTTAAACAACTGTGTGCCAGTTGCCCACATCATCAAATCCCGGACCAGCTCTTGATATAATATTTCTACGAGGGATTATCACCCATGGATTGGAGCATGTTAGATGCAGCCAGTGGCGGCGCTCTGGTGAACAAGACCACAGACGAAGCCACGTTATTGATCTCCACCATGGCTGAAAATTCCCAACAATTTGGAGTGAGAGCTGATGGAGCAATAAGAAGGGTCAATGAAGTGAATCACTCTGACTTAGAAGGTAAACTATCTGAGCTTACCTCTCTGGTGCGTCAAATGGCAAGGGGGCAATTACAATCTGTGAAGACTTGTGGTATCTGTGCTGCTCCCGGATACATGACTGACATGTGCCCAACTCTCCAGGAGGATTCACCTGAACAAGCCAATATAGTGGGAGATTTTTCTGGACCACCTCCACGAAGGAATGATCCTTTTGCACCCAATTACAACCCAGGGTGGCGAAATCATCCTAATTTTAGCTATGCTTCAAAACCCCCTGGTTTTCAACAACATTTTCAACCACGGCCACCAGTGCAACAACCATCCACTTCCAATTCAAACATGTCTCTTGAAGATATGGTGAAGTCACTGGCCCAAAGCACGAGTCAATTACAGCAAGAGGCTCAAAAATCTCAACAGGAATCTCACAGATCTCAACAAGAGACTCGTGCTAGCATTAGGAATTTGGAAGCACAAATGTCCCAATTGGCAACTTTCATGAGCAACCTGGAAAATAGCAATAGAGGGAAATTACCATCTCAAGTAATTCCTAATCCCAAGGAGAATGCCAGTGCAATGCAATTACGGAGTGGCAAGGAGGTACAGTCTCCTAGGCGTGCCCACGCCAGAGAAGAAGAAGTGCCCAGGAAGGTGGAAGAGGAAGAAGAGAAACAATCCTCTGAAATCTCAAAGAAAGTTGACATTCCTCTTCCTTTTCCTAGCAGGTTTACAAAAGCTAAAAAAGAAGAATCTGAGAAAGAGATTTTGGACACCTTCAGGAAAGTGGAGATCAATATTCCTTTGTTGGATGCTATTAGGCAATTGCCTAAATATGCTAAATTTTTGAAGAGCTTATGCACTAATCGCAATAAGTTGAATCTGGATGACAAGGTGAAGGTGGGGGAGAATGTCTTAGCGATGTTTCAAAGGAAGTTGCCCCAGAAATGCAAGGATCCAGGTATGTTTACTATACCATGCATAATTGGCAATCAAAGAATTGAAAAAAGCATGCTTGACTTAGGTGCTTCAATAAATGTCATGCCTCTTTCAATTTTTAAAGTTTTGAATTTAGGATCCCTCAAAGAAACTAGGGTAATCATTCAACTAGCAGATAGGTCTAATGTCTACCCTGAGAGCCTAGTTGAAGATGTTCTAGTAAATGTCAATGAATTCATTTTTCCTGTGGATTTTTACATTGTTGATATGAATGATGAATACTCTACTAATTCAGCAGTGATTCTTTTGGGTAGACCCTTCATGAGTACAGCAAGAACTAAAATAGATATACATGAAGGAACTTTATCTGTGAAATTTGATGGAGAGAAGGTCATGTTCAATATTTTTGATGCAATGAAGCATCCTGTGGATACTGAGTCTGTAAATTTTGTTGGCATGACTAACACCATTGCGCAAGAGAATTTTGAACAGAATTTCATGGGGAACAAGTTGGACTTTGTCTTACAACAAGGCAAGACCAATTTGGAAGTGGACGACATGGAGGAGGAGGAAGTCAAAGAAGCTATCATGTCCTTACATTCACTACATCCGCTTCCAGGCAGGTTTGAAAATTCTTTTCTACCATTACCAATTTCTAATGAAAGAATTCTACCTTCTGTTCAACAGGCACCTAATGTGGAATTGAAGGAACTGCCCGAGCATTTGAAATATGCTTACTTGGGAGATAACAAGACTTTGCCTGTAATCATTGTCAATGATTTAACTGCGTTGCAAGAAGAGAGGCTCTTACGGGTCTTACGGAAATTTAAACCAGCAATTGGATGGACGTTAGCAGACATCAAAGGCATCAATCCATCCATTTGCATGCATCACATCCTTTTGGAGTCGGACGCAAAACCCGTGAGAGAGCATCAACGCAAGCTCAATCCAGCAATGAAGGAGGTGGTGATGAAATAGATTCTCAAGCTCTTAGAATTAGGAATTATTTTTCCTATCTCTGACAGCCAGTGGGTAAGTCTAGTCCATGTTGTTCCCAAGAAGACTGGAATCACATTGGTGAAAAATGAAAAGAATGAGTTAGTGCCAATGAGATTGCAAAATGGGTGGAGAATGTGCATTGACTTTAGGAAGTTAAATGCCGCAACTAGGAAAGACCACTTTCCACTCCCATTTATTGATGAAATGCTTGAGAGATTGGCAGGTAAGTGTTTCTTTTGCTTTTTGGATGGTTACTCTGGATATTATCAAATTATTGTTGCTCAAGAGGACCAACATAAAACCACTTTTACCTGCCCTTTTGAAACTTTTGCATATCGCCGTATGCCTTTTGGTTTGTGTAATGCTCCTGGAACATTTCAAAGATGCATGATGAGTATTTTCTCTGATATGATTGATAATTGCATTGAAATTTTCATGGATGATTTTACAGTATATGGTGATTCTTTTGATCAGTGCCTAGACCATTTAACAAAAGTTTTGAAAAGATGCATTGAAACAAACTTGGTTCTTAATTATGAAAAATGTCATTTCATGGTTAAGGAAGGCATAGTTTTGGGCCATGTTGTTTCATCAAGGGGTATTGAGGTAGATAAGGCTAAAATTGATTTGATCACTAGTCTACCTTACCCTACTAATGTCAAGGATATTCGTAGTTTTCTAGGCCATGCAGGTTTTTACAGGCGTTTCATAAAAGATTTTTCAAAAATTGCTCAACCGTTGTCTCGCCTGCTTCAAAAGGAGGTGCCATTCAACTTTGGAGATGATTGCAAATTGTCCTTTGACACACTCAAGGGTATGTTGACCACGGCACCAATCATCCAACCCCCAGACTGGAAGCTATCCTTTGAGCTCATGTGTGACGCCAGTCAGTATGCCGTAGGAGCTGTGCTTGGACAGCGAAGTGGGAAGTGTAGTCACGTGATATACTATGCGTCAAAAACATTGACACCAGCTCAATGCAACTACACCACCACGGAGAAGGAGCTTTTAGCTATTATTTTCGCTTTTGAGAAATTTAGATCATATCTATTGGGGTCAAAAGTAACGGTTTACTCTGATCATGCAGTTTTGAAGTATCTCCTGTCAAAAAAGGAGTCCAAGCCAAGACTCATTCGTTGGGTGCTCTTGCTGCAAGAATTTGACTGGGAGATCAAGGATAGGAGAGGGGTGGATATTCAGTAGCTGACCATTTGAGTAGGTTGATAAGAGAAGAGGAAGTAGTTCCCATATCTGAGGTATTTCTTGATGAACATCTTTTCTATCTCAAAGGTAAGGAACCTTGGTATGCAGATATTGTGAACTTTTTGGTCAGTCATAAATTTCCTATTGGCATGAGTAAGAGTAAGAGGGATAAGATAGTCCATGATTCTCGATACTATATTTGGGACGAGCCATATCTGTGGAAAATAGGCTCTGATCAAATTATTCGTAGATGTGTATTTGAAAGTGAAACTCCTTCTATCCTTGCTCATTGTCATAATTATGCATGTGGTGGCCATTTTAGACCTAAGAGAACTGCTAGAAAAATCCTTGATTGTGGCTTTTATTGGGAAACATTGTTTCGTGATGCTTATGCATTTTGTAAAAGCTGTGAAAAATGTCAAAAATTTGGAAGTTTGTCTCATAGGGATGAAATGCCTATGTTATTTTGTGAAGTGTTTGATGTTTGGAGTATGGACTTTATGGGACCTTTTCCTAGCTCTTTTGAATTTTTGTATATTCTATTAGCAGTTGACTATGTATCGAAATGGGTAGAAGCAAAGGCTACCCGAACTCATGATGCTCAAGTTGTTGTAGGATTTCTCAAATCCCACATTTTTAGTAGGTTCGGGGTGCCGAGAGCCATCATCAGTGATCAAGGTACCCATTTCTGCAATCGCACCATTGCAGCTCTCATGAGAAAATATGGAGTGCACCATCGTGTGAGTACAACATATCATCCTCAGACCAATGGGCAAGCTAAAGTCTCCAATCGAGAGATCAAGAGCATATTGGAGAAAACGGTTAACCCCAACCGTAAGGATTGGAGCTTGCGATTGGATGATGCTTTGTGGGCATATCGAATACAATTGCGATTTGGCTCCAACAAGGACTACACTGGAAAGAACTAAAAGGAAACCATCTGAGGATCACAAGACGTATGCAAAAAGATGGAGAAAATTGGCTGCCAAGGTGGAACCCTCCATGACTGAAGATGAAATTGTGCGTACATTTATTAAAGCTCATGACCCGCCCTATTTTGAGGAGATTTTTCGCATGACTGGATGTTCCTTCGCAGAAATTGTTAATAAATTGGAAGAGTATGATGAGTTTGTGAGAGCAGGAAAGATTGTTAATGTGTCAGCTCTGAAATCACAATTGGAAGCGATGCAAAATCAAGGCGATAGTAGTAAGAAATCCCAGTTCGAGAAGAAAGAGGAGGAAACTTCATTTGTTTGGAACCAAAGCCCTTCTTTCCGACCTAGGTACCGACAATACCCCACTTATCCATCCCATTACTCACACCAGTCACATCCTCGACCTGTCTATCGTACTACCATTAACCATCATCGATCCCGACCAAATTATCCAAACACACCCACAACACCATTCCATATTTCTCCACCTAACTTCCAAACTAGACCTCGCCCTCCTTATAATCCCAGACCTGTTCCACCAAACAAACAGAACTACAACCATCCTCAAACCCATGAAATACAAAATCCCGGCCGATCTCGAGTTTTTACCAACTTAGTCAGGCCCATTGACCAACTGTACGAACAGCTCAAGGCCGCCGGTAAAATTGATGACATACCTCCTCCAAACTACCCTCGTCGAGGCTTCTCTGTTGGGTACGACCCTCAAGCCGCTTGTGCTTATCATTCTGAAGCACCCGGTCACTCGACTGGTAACTGTTGGGTACTGAAGCATAAGATCCAGGATATGATTGGATTGAAGCAGGAGATATAGTGTTAGAGAAGAGGGAAGAACAAGGATCGAGCACAAGTACAAATCCCTTTCCCGAACACAAAGACACCTGTGAAGCATTTACCCACGATGAGGAAACTTGAAAATCCCGAACTAGTGAGATCACTCCCTCTCGAAGGGAGTTTCGATAAATTTGGGGAATTATTTTTTATTAAATCCATGAAAATTGTTCATGCACGTGTCTTTTGCTTAACCATGTTTTTTGTAAATATTTTCAATCAAGTGACTTTTGAAGACACGTTTCGATCTTTATCTTAAAATGCAATAAAATGTACAGTTTTATACATACTGTGTTACTTACGCATTCTTTTCAGATGGTCACGAATAAAATCCCCTGACCCTTTGGATATCACTGTTCCGAAATTTGATGCCAGCCATCTAGATTCTCACGAATGTGAATTTGAATTTCAAAATGAGAGGAGTAGTGAAGAGACATCCGAAAATGTTTTAAAGAGGCCCGAATGGTATAAGGAGGAACTCAAACCAAATGGGGATCAAGATGAAGGAAATAAAATTAGTGGTCACTTGAATAAAAAGCAGAAAAAGGAGGCTGATGGAAAGTAGCGTCAAGAACAATAATTTCTAGTTGAGAAGAAGCAACCAAATACAGTCAAAAGGAGCGACCTGTGCTTACAATAAACGAGACAGCGTGACTACTCAGAAAAGAGACAAAATGTTGAAGCAGCTGTTGTCAGTGCAAGATTGGAAGGGGTTTGTTGTCAAAAAAAAAAATGATGAGAAAAGTGAAAATGAAAAAAAAAAGAGAAAAAGAAAAAGGAAGAGTATTGCCTGGCGGATCGCTTATGTTTCACAGATATGGATGAAGAGGAGTCTTCCTCAGTCAATTAATTCAGACACATGCAAGAAATTTCGCATTGATGGAAGTTTCCTTTCAGAGTTAATGTAAGGAACAGAATAAAAGTCAGGCCATCTTCCTTTCCCATTGAGACATTTTTTATCCCTAGTTATCCCTTTTGAACCTTTAGAATAAATCATTTCGTTTGGCAACCTCGGAGGATCGCAAACCTCACACTGGGGCAAATTTAGTTTTGAAAAAGAAAAAAAAAAAAACCCACACTGGGGCAAATTCAATTTTTGAAGGAAGAAAAAAAAAGGGATTGAAAGAAAAGAAAACCTCAGTTAAAAAATAGACTGGGGCAAATTTTGAAAGTTTCAAAAAACGGCAAAAAGCCGAAAAAAAAAAAGGAAATGAAAAAAAAAAGAGCCTTAGTTAAGAATAAATTAGGGCAAGTCTTGATTTAACCCTAATATAGGGTTGATGCAACAATGCGATCTCAGATCATTTGAACCACTTTTGAAATCAACTTTCAAGCCTTAACTTTTCTAAGCACCTCACCTGACCCCAGTATAAAAGCCAAAAGTCCTGACTTCTGTTCTTTGCAATATCTCTGTCAAGAAATTTTCTAATTAATTGGCAAGTGATGTTCATATACTGATGCCAATATTTTTTAGATGTATTTCTGAATTGATTAGGTGTGAGGTCGACACGACTCATCATGTGAAAACCTGCAAGGACGCCTTTTTAAAAAAAAAAAATCAAAAAAAAATCAAAAAAAAAAGAAAAAGAAAAACAAAAAGAAAAACAAAAGGATGGAGGGTAATTTTGGTGGAAACCCGAAATGACGCTGAGGTAGGGTTGCACAAAGAAAGCAAAGGTGATTCAGTTCATTGGGATTCCTTTTTACATCGTGGTTTTTCTGCTGGCATTGAATTTTGGACGGATGATATCCAAAAGGGTCAAACGGGACACTTTGTTGGAGGCCAAAATATTTTGGTCATCAACATAGATTGCTGGATTTGTGATTCATTTTTCTAAATTCATCTTTTTCTTTCAATACGAGTCGATGGTTATTTTTTACATTACTTTGGTTTGTGACATTTTTGTATAAAAATTCTTTGGGTATTGCATAGTTTCATTTGTCTCATTGGACTTTTTCAAATGACAATTCCCTCAATTTATCGAAAGGTGC